TAATCGGCCAATATTTCTCGCTTATTGCCATTCAAGTACGGCCTAACAAATGGACGATTTGTCAATAGACAAGAAAATAATGAACTTTTTTGTTGTTACTTCTACTCTCAATATATTCTTATAAATCAATTTGTGTTTCTGTCAATATTCCCAAAACTCACGTTTTGTTGAAGTCATAGAGAATGAGAGCCAACCAAACCGTAGCCAACATTAGCAGCAAAAATAATACACTGTTTTGTTGGGCACAATCACCGCCACTACTTGTGGTAGTTATCGATTCATTAATACCAGAAATATTACATTCAGTCACACAATAGAAAGTCTCGAAATCTATGGTTTCAGACAAATGTTTTGTATATTAATAATAATTGTATAGAAAATATCTATTTATATAATGAATGGTTAGAACCATTGACTTACTCTTTACGCAGTCTTTGATGGCATCGACACTAAACGCAAAGAATATGAATAATGAGAAGATCTCTTCCGTGGATCGGGTGCACCATCTCATGAGGACAGACACGTCCAGCAATGAATACAACACAACGAACAGTGCGTTCATTAAATACGAGTTATTAAATTACAACAAATATTATCACTTCTATCCCTCATTCACACAACGAATAATTGATTGCAATTTAGTCAGAGATTTATGCCATTGTATACCAAAAATGTTTTTCTCAAAGGAGTTTTTAGACTTAAATGAATGATTTATGAGAATCACTATATATTTCATTTTATTATTGAGTTAATGCTTACGACAGACACAAAGCCTTTCAATGCTATCAACTCTTACCAGAAAAACATTTTAAAATAAATTATTTCCTATTTTTATACTCAACAAAATACTTCTAGATTTAGACAATTCAATGCAATCAATTAGAAAATTGCTTTTCAAAATTTAGTTGATTAGTTTTTATATATACAGTATACATATATAGAAATTGAATGGTTTTTAGAAAACTTTATAAAAATCATATCATATAATAACGGATCACTTATAAGCCCCGATAGGCTGTAGACACCTGTCGCCTAGTTATTCAACCCAGATACTCTATCGGTTAAAAATTGACGACATAAAGTCTATGTAAAAGTGGAGTATAATATCATAAATATAAGTACAGATTAGATATAAATGTGTATAAAAGAAACGGTATGTTATGTTTTCCAGGATTGGATTCACATTCATGATTGTATGAAAAGGTTTTCAATTATTTAAAAGTATGTTTCAATTTATAGAAAGACTACACTCTCTATGATGTATATAAAGTATACAATATTAGAGATCAAAAGCCTATTCTCTATCTATAACTAACAGACTCTGAATCCGCAGAGATTTTCGTGTCATCTCTATCACTATTATTTTATTATTCAATAATATCTATAGATTTCCAAAAGCTATCAAACCGTAGATTTATTACTTAATTGCAGTATAAATGTAATGATGAGTTAAACTCAAGTCTATTCTTAACGTGATTTTGATATTAAATCAATAGAATAACGCATTCTTTGAAATCAGAGTCAATGTTGTGCTTAATTTCATAACTTCCTAAACAGTAATTACTAAATGTGTTTATATTTAGTATTTTCTATAATTAAGTTAATTTTTATTTTCTATTTTTATTTTTTAACATAATTATAAATTACAATATTTTTTTAATTTAGGTTTAAATCAAATTAGTTAATAATATAAAAAATTTTTTATCAAATATTTTAAATATCTTTTAGTGTTCAAACTTTTATTTTAATTTTTGTTTGCAACCCATCTGAGGCTATTATTATGTCTTTCCTAATGCTGTGATTCCTGTTTACAAACCCTTCCGGTGTTTTCAATCAGATATGGGAATCCGATTGAGAGCTAAGTTTTGACACTAAAAATACACAATGAAAGCGCGAATGAGAGACAACTTGAAAAATATTGTGGACAACAAGTGATTTCCATCCAAACATGTGACAATATATTTGTCAAATTATTTAAACACATTATCATGTGATTAATTATTCAATTTGTAACTGATATCATAATTTCAATCAGAATTCTGAATTTGTTATACAAGGAGTATAGCGTATAGGTAATGCAATATATCATATGATATAATAATTAAAATTATTTTTAGTGCTTTATTTTCTACACAAAAACAATGAAAATACAATAAAATAGTTTATTTTAGTAAAATTCCGGGAATAACATTGAATTCATAAAGAATTTATATAGAATAATGTTGTGGCTAAAACTACAATTAAATTTGCAATAATATAACCTTTTATGTCTAATATTTAATCTAAATTAAATAAACTTTTGAGATTAGATTAATGATGATATTTTAAAATAATAGTTAATGAGTGTAGTCTGTATTATATTTTAGTAATGTTTAATAAATAATTATTGGGATGAGTGACACGAAAAAGTGATAACAATATTTATGCACCAGGTAATTGAAATAATTTGAACTTTCAATTTACTAGTAATTAAGATTAAATGTGCAATTTGAATTTTAAAAAACTAGTTCATAAATATTGTGAATATTAGCAATTTTACTAATAAACTAACATTTCCAATACAGTGAATTTCCAAAGTAAAATTATTTAAAATTTTATTTAAAGGGTTTTAGAAATAATTTTATACCTCATTCTTGTCTAAAATATTGTGAATATTAGCAATTTTACTAATAAACTAACATTTCCAATACAGTGAATTTCCAAAGTAAAATTATTTAAAATTTTATTTAAAGGGGTTTAGAAATAATTTTATACCTCATTCTTGTCTCTAATTATTGTTATAAATTTAAGGTTTAAAATATATAATTTAATAAAGGCGAAATTACCCCAATTATATTAATATTTTTAAATATTGAAATTATTTGTATAAAGTAATGTTCACATGATTCTATCATGATGATAGTAATATTTGAATGCCATACTATAATTGCAACAATTATTATAGCACAAGTTGATAAAGAGCTTATAAAATTCAGTAATGAAACACTAAACAACATAATTAAATAATAAAGTTTACAACTTATTAAATGTTTATTGGACACACCTTTTAAGTATTTTTTTTGAACTATCATAAGGTAACTTATATTATTATTTCATGTTTCAAGAAATGTTTTTTACTATTAATTATTTATATTGTAGCCATTTAAATTAGTTTATATATTTATACAAATCTTGTTCTGTCACCAAAATAATGGATCACAAAATACTCAATGAAATGCAAAATGAATTTATAAATAACAATGGTCATAATGATGGTCATAATGTGTCGACTATAGAGCTGAGGGATGACTTGATGCCAGTGCCTCCGAGTACGGGTCGGCGTCGAAGTAATGCCTTTTCGTTTTCGGAGGAAAGCAAAGATGTTGACGAAAGTGATGAATGTCTGGATTTAAACAAATATGAGTCTCTTATCAATACTTCACTGCATATTGTGAAGCGAAAGGATTTCGTAAATGAATTTCGGTCTAAAAGAGATATCCATTTACTTGTGTCCGACTCTCATGTTTTGCTTGACTGTCAAGAATTCAATTTGGAATCAATTATTGATAAAATGCTTTCCGTAAGTCTTATACATAGTATATATATATATAGTATACATATACAAAATTATATATTAAATATATTTGTGCTCAATTTGGACTACACTGAGTGAATAAAAATTTTTTGATTAGATTTACATAAATTTATTTAATTTATATATTCAGTGAAAGGGAAACAGGGTTGAGATGTGTAGTGAGAAATTAGATTAACATTTCTATAAATATAACAACACTTAGGCTAATGTCATGTCATTCCTATAGAGCATTCATTTCACTCTCGAATAACATTTATTTCATTATTAGATCAAAACTTTTATAGCAATTGTTGTTAAGAAACATTTATTTTATTATTTTATTTTTATTTCAGCGATAAAACACTCGCAAAATAATCTCATTTTATCAATAGACAAATATTTTAAATGTGCATTTACTACTATCCTAATACTATCTAGTTTAGAATATATCAATACTATCGCGATCACTACTAACTGAGTACTGAATCAAACGATTATTGATATTTGATTTCAAATGTTGTCAAATGCTCTAAAACTAGAGATTCTCTACTTATTTATCAATAAATAAGGAGACGATTGAGATGTTAGTAAACTTCAATAGCTATGGCATAGATTCACATCAATTTATTGCCACAAATGTTTTGCAATTGTTTTATTTTTAGAAATTTTATTACAACATTTATTTATAATTTTAAATGAAATTTCTGAGAATTAAAACAATAAAGTTATTTCAATTCTTGTGTATATTTGGCAAATATTTGCACATAGTTTAAAATAAACTACACCTTTACTTTTATAAATTAACATTTTACACATTATTTAATGTAATGTTAATGTTTAGTGTTAGTTAATAATTTGATGAGAAAAATGAATCTTTTTTGTTTAACATTATATTTGATATAAAAGCAATTTTTAATATCCTTCACTTATATTGTATTTCTATTTCCAGTTAAATTAGTTGTTATATTCAATCAATGATTTTGTTACTATATTTAGCTTTTGAGAGACGAGGAGAGCCTGAATGACATCAATTCAGCGAAAGAGACTCTCTTTGCTGAAGGGAACCAACTCTTGAAAAACACAATTCAAGGCATATATCTGTCATCTGAAGATCATTATCAGTTCGACCAGTCCTGGCTCTGCACTCAGTATGACTTCACACATAAAACAATACATTTATATTTCATTAATAATATGGTTTTAAATTATTTTTTCAATCAATCAGTTGTTCTGTGCCTTCACTGTCCAAACGGCGCGTTTGTATCGCAAGATTAAAACATCCGACAAATTTGGGCATCAATTCAACGATTATTAGATTTTTAATTGTAGTGTTGGTTCCCATCAAAGAGGTATAAAAGTCTGTTATATTTCGCATACACTTGCAAACTCTTTAATTAGATTCAGATAATATATAAAATGTGATTCATTTGTCACTCATTTCAATGGTATCGTAAAGAAAGCGACAAAAAGTGCCGAAGAGCTCAGCCGTTCGTTCGCAACCGTTTTCGCTGATCTCAACTTCAGACAAAATCTCATGAATGCCACAAATGAACAGCAATTCATTGAATTAATTGAGAAAAGAGCACATAATTTGTCTGAAAAGGCCTTTTTAAACAAAGATTTCTTAGAGAAATTCAGAGAAAAAGAGGTTTTTAATGAATATTAATTCAAATAAGGTTTGTCTGACTTAGGATTTATGTAATGTTTATTTAAAGACAAGATTTCGGTTGTCGTTTGGAAAGGGAATCGTCGAGAATGTGAAGCGAAGAACACAATACTATTGGAGTGATTATGTCGACGGTCTGTCCCATTATTTTTGATATATTTTGTTAGCTTTTAGTAATAAACTTAAAATTCTCTCTAAAATATTTGAAAGTATTGACAAAAATCAAAAATAACTGTACTTGGAAAATATTTTTATTACTACTATTGAACGCCTGACTAATGTCTGTACTTTTAGCAAATTCTTACAATGCTTTTAGTGGATATGAATTTTTAAACACAAAATATATCATTTGAGACACTGTTTCAAATATACAACACATTACTATTGAGAATAAGTTATGTTTGATATGTCTTACGATGAAATGAGAGGAGAGTGTGTTTTATCGCAATTAATATTTTTCATAAACATATTGATGTTTAATGTATGAAATGACAGGTTTTGTGGGTCCGAAAACAATACATAAGACAGTGTCGACCACAATATCGCTATACTTTGCGTGTATTCTTCCGTGCATTGCGTTTGGAGTATTGGACGACAAGAATACTGATCATAGGATTGACACGAGACGTGCTCTAATCGGACAGACTATCGGAGGCTTCCTATTCGCGCTGTTAGGCGGTCAGCCACTTGTCATCATTATGACAACAGCGCCGTTATGTCTCTATACGAAAGTGGTGTTTGATATCTCCCAGGATATTGGTGTCGACTTCTACGACATGTTTGCCTGCGTTGGCCTCTGGAACGCACTGTTCGTTGTGTTGTATTCATTGCTGGACGTGTCTGTCCTCATGAGATGGTGCACCCGATCCACGGAAGAGATCTTCTCATTATTCATATTCTTTGCGTTTAGTGTCGATGCCATCAAAAGCTGCGTAAAGAGTGAGTCAATGGTTCTGACCATTCATTATATAAATAGATATTTTCTATACAATTATTATTAATATACAAAACATTTGTCTGAAACCATAGATTTCGAGACTTTCTATTGTGTGACTGAATGTAATAATTCTGGTATTAATGAATCGATAACTACCACAAGTAGTGGCAGTGATTGTGCCCAACAAAACAGTGTATTATTTTTGCTGCTAATGTTGGCTACGGTTTGGTTGGCTCTCATTCTCTATGACTTCAACAAAACGTGAGTTTTGGGAATATTGACAGAAACACAAATAGATTTATAAGAATATATTGAGAGTAGAAGTAACAACAAAAAAGTTCATTATTTTCTTGTCTATTGACAAATCGTCCATTTGTTAGGCCGTACTTGAATGGCAATAAGCGAGAAATATTGGCCGATTATGCCCTCCCCCTCTCCGTCATTGCATTCAGTTTTATCGGCACTTTTCTCTTCAGAGACATCAAAGGTATAGAGAATCGGATAATTTATGTCTTAATTCTGTTGCAAACAAATAGTTTATTGCTTTAAATCAGACAAACAATTAATAAGAGTTACTGTATATAAGACGGCAACTCAACACATGAAACACTACTATATTTGTTGCCATTGTTTGTCACAACAGCGGAAGCCTTCAAATTCAGTGATCGCTTCGAGTTTAGCAGTCCTTCGTTCGCGAGTCTCACCGTCTCATCCGTCTTCATAGGGATGGCTCTGGGCTTTGCTCTCTCACTGCTCTTCTTTATGGATCAGAACATCTCCGCAGCGATGGTTAATAACCCCAATAACCAGCTCAAGAAGGGCAGTGCCTACGACTGGGACCTATTTGTGGTGGGAATACTCAACGCATTCCTATCGATATTTGGCTTACCCTGGATGCATGGCATACTACCCCACTCTCCCATTCACGCCCGCAGTTTGGCTGACGTCGAGCAGAGAGCCAAAGACGGTTACGTTCGGGACGTCGTTATCAGAGTCCGCGAGACTCGAGTGACAGGCCTTTTGATTCATCTATTAATTGGATTATCTCTACTCCTAATACCGCATCCTCTCGACTATATTCCCATATCAGTACTGAACGGACTCTTCCTCTACTGTGCCTTTGCTTCTCTTCGAGGAAATGCATTCTTTGAGAGGATTC